CGGGCGGGGGGCGGCTCCGCCAGGGGACGTGGAAGGGCCGGACGTGTCTCACCCCCCGCCCCGGGGCGGGGTTTGCTCCAGCCCTGGCGGCATCGCACGGGGGTACCGGGGCGGGGGGCTCCGGGCAGCACCGGGGGCTCTCGGGCCGTGCATCCCCCTGAGCCAGGTTGGAAAGGTGTGTCCGGGAGGGGAGGGTGCGCCTGGGTGAGGGTAGGGGTGCCTGTGGGGGTGGGCGGATTTGATTTGCACTGGGACGGTGTTAACGTCTCCCTTGGGTGTTTGCACCCTCGGGTGCTGTGCAGGTCTGAAAGTGTGGTTTGCAGGTGTGCCTGCCTCACGCTGGGCCGTCTGTACACAGATGTGCACACACACACCTATGTGCTTGTGCACACCCACATCCACATCCAGGTTGGCCACTGGCTGGCTGTTGGGAACGACCCCAATCCTGCCTTGAATCTCCAGAACAGATGCTAGTGTCTAACCTGTTGTTTGGCACAGAGCAAGCTAAGGTGTGTAAGTTTGCAGATAATGAGAGAGAATAAGTGCTCTAGGATGGAATAGAAAGAAAAGAATTTTTCATTTTTGAGTAAGAAGGAGCTTCCCTTTACCACTGTGCTGGAAAGCTGATTTCCCTCCCCCTCCCCAGGAAATTCTAGCTCATTTATCTTGCTCTGTGCCATAAACCATTCCCTCTGCAATCAAGAACTTCAGAAGGATATTAAATTAAAGCTGCGTGCGTTCCCGACAAGGATAGGAGAGGGGGGAGAGGGCCTGGCAGCCACGGGGATGCAGAGGCTCTGGGTGTCATGGGACGAGCTGTGAAAGGCTCTAGTATCCAGACTTTCTTGGCTTCCATCTTGGGGTGGGGGCAGGCAGCAATATTAATTCTGTAGTGGGCATGTGTATGTGTTGGGTCCAGAGTCATCTGCCCTGGTTTATATCCTTGGAGATCCTGTCTGTTTTTTCCTTCTTTCTGACCAATGGGTTTGCAATGTGTAGGGGCTGGGCAGACCTGGCAAACTTTTCTCCTACAGGGTGTACTTTGGCTAACCCGCCTCATAAAATTCAGCCCAGTCCATGTGGATTGTAGGCAGACCTGTGAGGAATGCAGAGATAGACGAGTTTCAGTGCAGCCAGTCATCAGGAAACTTTTCTCCAGCTATGTGTGGGCTGGAGAAGTGCCAGGCCAGCCAGAGGCCTGCCTGAAAAGGCACATTCGTTGGGAAGGGTGGAGGTTTCTTATGGGGAGGTGCTGCACAGAGGAGGGGCAAACTGAAAATTAATTAGGTATGTGTTGAATCTGGAAGTATTCACCACTGCCAGACAGGTGTTGTAGCTAATGGAGCTGTGCTAAGCCAGGAGGTGTTAAATTGCTTGGGAAGAGGGTGTTATCTAGCAGTTAAGGAGAGAACTGAAGTTAAGGCCCACATTCCTCATTTGTGGAGGGCGAGGGAGGTTAGTCACTAGCTCAGGGGACAGAGACTGAAGGCCAGGAGTTACAGCTGGAAAAGACCACTGCTTCCCATCTTGATTGAGTTCTCCAAGTAGCCCTGTGAACAGTCCAGTTGGCGTAAGTGGGGAGGGTAATCCTGGTGAGGTGAGATAGGGGAAAGGAACACAAGGAGCACAAACCTTCCTTTGATGTTGAGAGAAACCTCTGTGGGACCTTGGGTTAAGTTTGCAGGAGTCACTCTGTGCCTCAGTTTCCCTTGCTACATGGTAACAGTGGTTCTCATTTTGAAAGCAGGTTGTGCTCAGTGTTTGGGAAGGCCTTTGAGCACCTCAGTTCAAAGAGCAGTATAATGTGGCATGTTGCACAGAGGAAGGATATTTGCACCCGCTTGTAAAGGTCTAGTTATTTGCATGTAAGCAGGACCAGCCTATGGCTTTGTTGGTGGGAACTGAACATAATTTCTCTGTGACACACACTCTGTAGTCTCCTTTCTGTCCAAGAGTTTGCAGGCTGAAACAAGACTCATAGCAAGTTATCAGCCTTGGTTTTATTTCCCCACACTCCTCCCACCTCAGGCTGTGCCTACAGGACCTGCTTTAAATGCCTGGGCAGAGTAGTTCTCCAAGGAGCTTTGAGTCAAACCATGTGGAATATCATCATGGTGGGCCTGACGGGCACATCCTGTGCTTCTACCACCCTGCCAAGGCATGGCAGACCAGACTCCTGCAGCCATCTGCTCCCAC